AAACACGTGTACAAAAACTACTGGAGAAATTCTCCAGCTATGACTGGTTTTCTGTAAACTCTCGGTGATTACTCACTAGAGCTATTCATTAAATATTGAAAAGTGATATATAATTAATTCCAACATATTTTTTGTTAAAATATGTGAAGCATCCCCTTGTTAACACTGAAGAATTCACCTATCACATATTATGGCACAGAATATTTGAAAACTATGCAACTTTCTATATTATTGTTGCAGTAATTCATTAAATATGCAAAAGAAGCAGTCGTTATGCTTCATGAATACTATCTGTTTCTGGTATTTCCTACTTGGTCACTCTGAAGAGTCTCATAATCCACACAACTATTTAAGATACAGTAAGATGTAAGCAGGTGGTAAGTCAAGATATTCCTGTGTGGTTCCCATATTGACACAAATTGAAAGTGCTGTTTTCTCTGCAGGAAAAATCCTCCAGAAGATGTACCACGTATTAAACCCAAATACACCCCCATAGCCACAGATGACACATCAGGAAGCGCTGCCTTGTCCAGGGCAAGTTACAAGCCACGCAGTGGCATCTTGCCTTTGTGCAAGGCAGCAGCTCTAGTGTCTATTCAGCAGCACTTGCAGGATTGCAGCAAAGCCAAAATCTGGAGGACTACAAAAGATAAAAGTGGGGCCAAGATAGACTGTGTCTGGGTAACTGAGTTAGAGGGTGTGCAGGATCTGGTAAGAGAGTAGGACAGTTAGGGAACACCAGGAAGGGGAAGAAAACATCTTGCATTCAAAAACTATTTTCCCCTTCTAACAGTAAAAAAAAGTTGGGGGAGGGTGTCACTTTGCATTTAAAGTTGTCTTTTTGCGAGTTAAATACAATCACAAAATTGGTTGTCTCCACCTCACTTATCTGTTATAACTGTTCTTCTAACGTGCATATTCCTTCCAGCAGGACTTTTTCTATGGAGTGTCATCTCTTTGTACAGCAGAATTTCCATCTCAGTGGCATCAAATCTCTACTGTAAGTGTCTAACCACAAGCTGATGATTTGGGTTCCATCGGCATCTGGAATGTCCAAAAAGCTGTCACTTTCAAGACATTCTCTGTACTACAGTACCACTTTGGCTTCTAGGGATTCTTCTGATTTCATATTCAAAAGTCTGATGGATTACACAATGAAATACTGACTGGAGAAAACACAGGCAACTGTACCATGATGGGAACAGAGAACCATCTTTCTGCGACTAAAAAGTGGTTATATTTATTGAACCAGAAGTTAGTACAACCATATAATGATTGTATGTATGGGATAAGGAGAAGGGAGAGAGTTTGAATTAAGCACTTGCTTGACAAGCATTTTTGTCCTGAGTGAAGCAGAAAAACTTTATCTGTAGATCCAGCATATTTTTCCACTGAGGTTTGGGATATATACCCTGCAAACTCAGTATTTGGGTGAATTACATAGATGCATGATAACCCTAGAGAATATACCTCATTTTTAAATGCTGCCATCTCAGCATGCAGTTTCTCAGGTCTGTAATACGCTGAGCTGTCATGGACTGCAAATCTTACATCTGTCTGCTTTCCATCAATGTTCATCACACTGAAGACAATGATATCACTAAGCTTAGCAGGTAACATCTTTGCTAGTAATTTCTTGAACTTCCCATGTCTCGTTTTGCCATGTTCATCTCTCCTTATGAAGTCCTCTGCTGTGACATCTGAGTTTGGGATTCAAAAACAGATAAACATGAAATACCGGGAGACCACAGGTTAATTTCTCAATTTCTTTCTTACTTAACAATATGGAAGAATACCAGAAAGCGCCCTACAGCAGTAAATCAAGTATTGATATAATAATACCTACATCACATAATCATTGTTATAGAAGCAGCTGATCTAAACTCTCACCAGCAAATAAAACTAACCTGATAGACGCACAGTGGCTGAGTTTTGTATGGCTTCATTTTCCAGCTCTTTGACATGGATTTGTACTGTAGATATAACATCAGGACAAACTCCATCAGAAACTCTAACTTTTAAGTTGTATATTCCTTGAGGAGTGTTATCCATCATCGCCAAAGAACCAGTCCTCTGATTTAATCTGAAAGATCTAGACATAAACCTTCAATTAGGAAATCTTAATAAACCAAAATTGAGCACTTACTTTATACATTAACATAATTCAGAAGACTTTAAATGTTACTATGAAGGTTAGAGGATCAAATCTTATGGGAATTAGCAAACAACCTCAGAAAAACACCAGAAACACCTTAATTCAGAAATGACAATCTGCAGAGTTTATAAAAAGATGTTTCTGCCACTCCCAAATCCCTAGAGTTTCCCAAACTTTAATAAAAGCGGCATATAGTTGAACCACAAGGTTCAACATAGTGATCATGGGCAGGTCTATGAGACAAGTAATAGAAAGCGACAAAACCACACAAAGTCATTCCAGATTCTCATTTATCCATTTGGAACATGATATGGTCTGTATGAAACCTCTGATATCATCTTCATTTGCCACCTCAAAGGGACACTAATCAGTAATTCTGGAAAAATTCCATGACCACTATTATGGATCAGTAACCTCTTAATATGGAAACAGGCCCAGGGGCTGCTGACAGACAGAAAGTCAGTCTTTAATTTTGGGCTACATAAAGCTTTTAAACTCTTATTCACGGCAGAGACAAAAATTCACATTCATTTTCCATCCATTTTCTGTATTTCAAACAGCATACAATTATGTTATATGCCATCTCACTTTATGATATGAACAAATAATGTATAAGTAGGAATTAAGGATCCAATTCAACATTTCAATTAACAGAAAAAACTCCACTAATCTGAGTCATGGTTTTCGCATGCAGTTGTAAATTCCGCCATCAAAGGAGATCACCAAATTCCCTTCCGCTTTTGATGAAATGACTCCATTCTGCCCTTTTCAATTTGGGATTTGTACTCCATCAACTCTAACATTTGAGAGCAAGTATTAAAAAATCTGCCTATTTTTAAATTGGATATTACAGAATGTACATTTTAAAATTAATTAATTATGATATCTGACTAAAAATCAACATAATGGTGTGATCCTCCATTCTCTTGGAAAAAATATTCCATGCATTAGTTTCTTAATACCTAGTTACCCAAGTAAAAAAGAAAAAGAGCATTCAGATGGTACATTCCTTAATACACTCAATAACCCTATCTTTACACACATCCTGAACACAGAAATACATAGTGAGTAAAATAATTACAGAAGCATAAATATTACTCATTTTGACACAAATACAATCCTCACTTGAGCAGTTTTCCTTCAGAGAGAAAGGTTTTATTGTCCCAGTCATCTTGATCTGGCGCAAACACTTTCCCAAGCACTGTTGTTGACCATTTTCCTATTGAAATAAATTACAATAAATCTGCATTTAATTTTTGCTTTTCAGTGCACTTTATATTCTGCCATATTCATTACTGCATTTATTATTTTCAGATGCCTGCTCAATTTGGTGACGGTTATGACCCAAGATTCTTAAAATAATGCATAGTCTGTCATATGATTTCTGCCTGTTCTGGAAACGCAAGTACACTATGGATGTCACATGAAAGAAGAAAAGCTGCAAACAACACAAACCAACAACAGAATGATACATAAATACAAATCCATATAAAATTCTCAGATAAAAAAAAAATAAAAATAAAAAAAATCACCACATCAGGAGCTAATCCCCAAATGTTTCATTGCTACTGTATTACTTCAAACGGCACACAAGTGGAATCCAGCAAAAGAAGGAGAGCATCTTGTGGAGTGCAGCTGGGAGAGAAGGACGTGACTGAGAAAAGGATATGGGCAAGAAGCCATCAAGCTGTGCCAGTTCTTGGCCCTTTTTTCAGGCCCCTGTGGGCTGTCACAGAAGTGGAACATCCAAGCAGATGTTCTAAAATAGCAAAAGGAGCAACTCCAGGGAAGACGACCTTTGAATTCCACAGCCAAGATCCAGCAACATGGGAAATTTTTAAAGTTCAAATCTGAAGCCAATCCATCCTAAAAATTTCATTCTCTCATTTCTGCGGTAGGATCTAGTCACCACTTTTTCTAATTTAGGCATAATGAATTCAGCAAAAATAACTCAGTTCAAAAATACCTTCTGTAGATTAACTTTCCCTAATATTTATCAGAAATTCTACTATTGTGATGATAACTGAGATATAGCCAAGTCTATCTGGAATGGAGTATTTGGGGAAAGGTGTAATAAACTATGCTTAATAAGGGCCACCAGGACTAGTTTAAGGTCAAGTTTTACAGGTAATTTCAGGAAATTCAAGACAAATTTTAGAAAATATTATTAAACTGTTCATCCTCTGCTAAACCACTCTGATGAGAAAATGTAAAGCATTCACGTAATGGATTCATTGCTCTGATCTCTCCCACTACAATTTTAAACCTCACTTATTGCACCCCGAAGTCACTTACTGCACCCCAAAGATTCTTCTTTTCCTAAAAACCACTGACCCAGCTTTCTCTTGGATCCTTTCTTGCCAGCAGAAAACCTCCCTCCTCAAGATTTCTATGCTGCTCAGCCACACAGCAGCTGTCACAGTGGAGGTGGGACTGGTCTACAATTTCTCCACACGGCTCATCTATGAACCTCTGTTTCTCTAAGTTCCTTCAGTTCTGCCATTCTCATCTCCAGATCTCTCAGCATCAGATACTTTCCAAATCATGTGTGCACACAAAAAACTTTTCCTCTGTGTAGATGAAAACTAGAGAATGGAAAATAGATTTTATTGGTTTATAAAACCACTGCTTTTTCTGCAAGTGCAATATATACTTGTTTGCAGCTAACAATTTTTTGATAGATGATCTTTACATGTTAAAGTCTGAGCTTTGCAAATATACTTTACTCATTCCTCTTTCTTTAGTAGTTTACAGAACTGGAGTTTCAGTTTCAAAATGTGTAAGCCATTTAAAAAAATAAATTAAGAACTGCAAGAAAGAAATTAGTTGTAAAACTGTGCTATATTCATGAATCTGATATAATGTACAGATAGCACTTACCTTTGTAACTGTACACATAGACTTCCTTATGGCCAGATTCGTGGCAGTTGTCATTTTCATCACCAATTGTTATAGTTAGGGTGTTTGTAGAGCTCATAGCTGGAATCCCACTATCTGTTATAACTATTGGCAGATGAAATACCTTCTGCTTTTCTCTGTCAAAGGACCTCAAAGCAGTTACAGTTGCTGTGTTATTTCTGTTGTCAGTAAGAGAAAAATCCAAAGAATTCTGATAATCTGGTGGCAATGAAAATGTGAAGGGTGGCCCATTTTCCTCACTGTCCGGATCAAATGCATGAAGCAGTTTTGATGTATGGTTCATATACACTATTTCAGGCTTCAGTATATTTTCCCAAACTACAGGCATGTATGGCACCTCAAACCTTGGTCCATTGTCATTAACATCAAGCAAGTTAACCAAAACTGTAACGCTTCCAGTGCGGGCAGGTGTCCCTCGATCTGAAGCTTGTACAATTAAACTGTATTTTTGAATGACTTCACGATCTAGTGTGTTTGCCACAATGACGTGACCATATTGGTCAACTGCAAACTGTCTCATAGGATCTGAATCTGACTTTATAGAATATATAATGTTCCCATTCAAACCAGAATCTTTGTCTGTAGCTCTCACTGTAGTTACTGTAGTACCTACAGGCATGTTTTCAAAGAAAGGACTTGTCTGCATAAACTGAGAACGGAAAACCGGGCTGTGGTCATTAGAGTCTTGAACTTCAATCAGGCACACTGCAACACTAGAAAAATCAAGATCTTCCACTGTAATAGTAAGATTAAACTGCCTTTCATGTGCATTCTCAAAATCCAATTTTTTTTTCAGTCGAATAGTGGCACATTGCCATTCTTTGTCATTCTCAATATAAAACTTCTCATCTGGGTCTCCCGCAATGATACTGAATATTAAGTCAGCATTTTCCCCAGCATCTGCATCTGTAGCACACACTTGCAGAACTTCTGAGTCGACGGCACTTTTTTCAGGAATTATTGCCTGCCACACCTTTTTTGTGAACTTAGGTACATGATCATTGACATCTGCAATCCAGATAGTGGCGGTGCCAGTTCCTGTTAGCCCTCCCCCATCTCTTGCTTCAACAGTAAGAAAATAATTTTCAGTCCTTTCTCTGTCCAGCATTCCCCCCGCTACATGGATTGTACCAGTACTGGGATTGATATTAAACATGTCAGTACCAAACTCATTTTTTACATTCTCTGTTATCCTGTAAGTTAGGACAGCATTAAGACCTACATTTGGATCATCATGATCAACTGCGCCCATTTCCATGACTAATGTGTCTGCAGGAGAATTTTCAAAGACATTCCCGTTGCAATCATCAGGCATGCATGTGAACATGGGTGCATTGTCATTTATATCCCACACATTAATAATTACATCAGCAAATCCCGTAAGTCCTCCTCCACCTTCATCAGTAGCCAATACAACAAATCTCCACAGTGCTCTCTCTTCCCGATCCAGCATCTTGTGTGAGTAAATGCTGCCCGTTTTCTCATCTATTGTGAAAATATCAGCTGCACCATGCCCATGCAATGAGTATCTCAAATCTCCTTCATCCACATTACTATCAGGATCATTTGCCATAACCTACAAAAGTTTTGAAAGCAAAGACATAGAAATTATAAAATAAGCAATGATTGCATTATATCCTATATGCTGCTACAGTCTAAAGGAGTCCAAGCAGAAGTATGTGACAGGCTATTAATACGTGCGTGCCAGCTGAACACCAAATGAGAGGTGGCTGAGAGACAGTTCAGAGTAGGTAAATATGCTTTGCACTACAATAACAATGTAGATATTCTAATACTAAAATAATATATTTTTTTCATATTTGTTGAGTTAATTTAACTATGTTATTCTGATAGCTACTTTAAAATGTTAATGATTTGATTTTTAGGATCACAAATGATCCATCCTGTTTAGCCTACTTACTATCTTTGTAACTATTTTTCTACAAAAGTCCATTTCCCTTCTTCCACTGACAAAAAAAAACTTAGCAAAACTAAATTTCATTAATATATCTGTGCTGAATTATTATAACATAATTGCACCAGAGTAAACTGTGTTCTTTCATTCAAATATTATAATATCTAAAACTGCATACACTACCTGAAGTACAAAGACTGGTAACCCATCCAGTTCCTCAATAATACTTCCATAGTATTCGTTGATAGAGAAAACTGGAGTCTCATCATTTTTATTCATGACATTGATGATGATAACTGCATAATCTTCCCATTTCCCATCAGAGGCCAACAAGTGAATCTCATACATTTTTGTTTCTTCATAATCCAGTGGTTGGGCAATAAAAATGGCTCCTGTTTCTGGTTCTACACCAAGTACTCCTCCTGTGTTTCCAGCTGTGATCTGATACCGTAATTTAGCATTTGATCCTGTCAATTACCAACAGTGTCAGAAAACACACACTTCTTGAAGCAGATTGAAACCTGGGATGTTAAGATGAAGTACAAATCATACCGTAACTGATTTTTGGTATTATAGTTTTGTGGTCTTTTAAAATGTGCAGCTATGTCAGATTACTTATCAGCATTTTCAATTCTGGTATGTCCAATCATAATTTGCGTCTAACTATAAAATATGTCTTTGCAGTGAAGTATTAATTCTACTTTTACTTATGATCCCTCAAATTCACTGAAGGATCAATATGACTGGCCAAGGCTATGGGACCAAAAAGACGAATTCTTGTTTCCTAACATCCAGCATGTAAGAATGAGTTATCATAAAATACTTCATATTGTAGAACCATTCTGCACTCATTTATGCATAGACCTTACCAACAAACAGGATAATTACGTATCAAGCCAGAAGAGATTGTCCTAACAGAAGTTCTCAAAATTTCAGAGATGGTACCAGTTTGCTAATGGTTGTAGATCAAGTGAAGACTTTTAGCCTTTCTGCAAGCTCTACCTTCACATTACCATTCTTCTCTTCTTCCCTTCTTTCATAGCTACACCTTTAATCATTTACTTCATTAAGAGGACAGAAATAAAGTGCCATATATCCATCATATCCATAGAGTAGATTTACAGGCAGCCTAAGTAACAACCTAAAAGTTCCTTGAGTAGGTAAATTCCTCTTCAGTCCAACTTAGCCACATTTGCCTCAACCTCCTTGAGTAGGTGAGGAATCAAATGCAGTCAGGATGTACTTCCACTTGACATACTGAGAGAACAGTTCTTTGGGACTTGGGCAACAAAAAAGTATGGTTTCATCATACAGCAAAGTCAAATTAGTAATGTACCATGGCTAAAAGATGGAAGCCTGTACCGTTCCCTCTCTCATTTACAAGCATTGGTTACGTAGTTATTTTTATGACTTATGGCTGAATTCCTGACTGATTTGTAGATAAAGCAATATCGCAAAGACTCATCATATGCGTTTAGGAAGTCTAGATTCAAATATGAGAATATGTACCTAAAAAACCAAACCAAACCCAAACCAATAATACAACTATATTATACTGTCCATAGAGAAAGCGAACGAATCTCACTGAAATCAGGTCCAATTCATTCTAGTTAACCAGGACATTTTTATTGGTGCACATTTGTAAGAAAATGATATGATCTATAATAAATTTATATTTACTGGCACAGAAATCATTCCCCATCATCCCACATTAATGCATTACCTCCCGAAATAAGAGTTATTTGACTTATGTCTCATGCTCCATTATGAACTAATGTTCATGCCCGATCCGTTCACACTTAAAGAAGTTTTAAAATCTATCAAGAAAAAGACACCTTCCTTTCTAACACCACTAAATATGTCTTGGTGTGCTGAAATTAACTCATTAATATTTTAGACACAGCTATGGGGAATTCCAGTACTTTACCTTCATCTTCATCATTAGCACTGACTGTAATGATAGTCGAGCCCACATCCTGGTCTTCATCCACATTTACTTCATAGACACTCTGAGCAAAGACAGGCTTGTTATCATTCACATCACTGATAAAAACACGCACGTAGGCCGTGTCTAGAGAGACAAGAAACAAGAGATTAAAATACTCAGCTGTGCCACTTCTGTCAGCTACAATTCCTTAAACTGTCTAGCTGCACATTAAATGAAGACGAATATGCAGACAATACAGAAACAAACCCTTAGGGTTGTGGACAATATATATATACACCAACATTACTCAAAAGCATTTGGATATCAAATGAATGTCACATCCAATTTGTTTAAACAGATAATATGTGAATAATTGATGCCTAATATGGCAATTGTACAGTTTTCAGTCATAAC